CACTTAAAACACTAGAAAAGTCATGAAAAATGTAATGCAGTCTTAAATTTTAAATATATTTCTATAAATGAACGTGGTTATGAGCACATTGCATTTACAAGCTTGCAGCACAGCTTCAATTATTTTAAATATATTAAAATGTATTTAGATTACAGTGTTTTATTGTTTTGAATATGAACCTATTAAATAAAGGGAAATAAGGTAACCTTAGTTCTTTTGTTACTGTAAAAGTCTTCTAAATGTTACCACTATCACTAATTATTGTTGAAGAATCATTACAAACATCCCTCTGTCACCTCATATGTCTTCCTGAGGGAGACCCTGTAAGAAATGATCCATAAAAACAGATTTAAAAGTGGTGCCAACAATAGAACATATAAACCACTATAGTCATATTTGCATAGTAAACACATTGAAATAAACCAGATGGTCTCCTTTCCCTTCTTGAAGGTTAAATTGGGTGCATATTTACTTTCCTTTTAATTATAACCTTTATCTTAGAGGGAAACTTTTAACCAAGGCATTGCTGCATAATTCACGAATAATTTGTTTAGCTCAATGCATATATTTTTTAAAAAACGAAAGTAACCTAGTATTTGGATAACAAATGATGCTAGGAATTGCATCCATCTTACACTTGTAATTTTTTTTTATTTTTTTAAAATTTTTTTAGTTGTAGATGAGCAACGTATCTTTATTTTATTTGTTTATTCTTTACATGGTGCTAAGGATTCAACCCAGTGCCTCATACATGTTAGACAAGCACTCTGCCACTGAATTACAGTCCCAGCCCATAAATTATTTTTTTAATGCAGTTGATGTAAAGTTGTGTGATGTTTTTCCCTTAGCTCTCTTGGTTATTGAGTCCTGAAAACCTTGAACCACTTTTTGTTCCTCAGAATTATACACCCTGACTTTGGCCTCACTTGTAAAATATAGATGAAACAGTTAAGACCCAGTTTGCTTGACTATCATACACAGTTATGTGCAGGAACTAAGCATACTGAGTCACACTTTAAAAGATCTGGATATAGAATAGTTAAGTGCTTGGGAAATTTAAAAGTATATGCATTAGTCATTTTGACCTATGTTTGACTAAAATATAAAATCTATATCAGATATCAAATATTGAATATTGAAAATTTACAATGTGGTGTTTTCCCATTCTGTATTTTTCTTATCAATATAAGCAGAAAAATCTGGTATCTACTGAGCCCTCCTAAGATGTATGAACAACTGTTAATGTTTTCTTATGCTTATTTACACATAAGCCTGTGGAAATTGGCCCAAATTTAGAAGATAATTTCAATTAATAGATGTCAAAACATTTTAATAAGCCTTAGGCAAATTTGAAAATATACCTATTCAATGGGTATGTAAACAACTTATCTGAAAAAAATACATGAGGTAAAAAATGCAACCCATTCAGACAGGGCAACATTTATATTCACTTGAATATGTGATCATTAATTTTCCTGGACAGGGAAGAGTTCTCCTAGAAGAGTGGCTGGGAAGAGCTGCTTTGAAGAGGCTGAACTTAGTGGGTCTTTCTAAAAACAGATATCTCTCAATGCTCTAAAAATTTAGGCAAATAGTTTTGCGTGTGCATTTGCATGTACACAAATGCATGTATTTGGGAGGAGGGTACATGTGTGTGTGTCAAGGATGGGACAAAGGGCATTTTCATGCACTGTATTAAAATGGATCTAGGTTCAACTTGCCAAGATTTTAAAAATTGAAATCATTTCATTGGACACTTCTCTTAATAAGGTTATTCAAGGAGTTAAAGGTGAAGCAAACTTTTAAAAATTTCCTAAGTAAATAATATCAGACAGGAAATAAAGGATTTTTTTATAAATACAAGTACTTTCTGTATTAGTGATGTTGAACCAAATGTTGTCTGTAGTAACATGGTCACAGGGCTCCAGTTGATTTGGCTTTATCCCACTGCAATAAGAAAGAAAGTATATATATATATATATATATATATATATATATATATATATATATATATATAATGTTTACATGTAACTATTTGCCAGTCCTTGATTTTGTTTGTGTTCATGCATGAAAATATATATTCACATTTGCCTTATTAATCCTAATTTGTCTTTCTCTGTCTCTTGTGTCTCTAACACACTTATACATAAATACAAATGATTTGTATCTGTATTTATATCTATCTATGTACATCTTCTGAGATAGTGCTTTTTTACAATGATTAAATCTCTAAAGCTACTAGAAATCATGTGTTCCATTTGTCACATTTCCAAAAAAATGAATCCCAGGAATGATTGACTACAATGAGTTAGAGAATATACCACTTTATGGAATTAAAACCTTAGCAATTACTGTCCAGGAGTTAATAAATATCTAAGATATGTGATTCCTTTCTCCTAACTGAATTTAAAATTCATCCCCAAGAATCAAGTCCTCTGTGGACAACAAATTCAGTTTTTTTATATATATACAGATATTTACACCTGCTATAACTCTTAAAAATATTTGGTACCTTCTTTAACTACATAAAATATTTAGATATATAAATTTGATTTCAGGTGATTCATCCAGCTTTATAATAAACAACTCTCTGTTGCCAAAATTTTAGGAGGAACATTAATATGATGCATACTTTTTGTTGAATTTGAAGTTAGGGTAACTGAAAAAGTTTTACATCTGTAGCATACTTTTGCTATGTTCCTGCTTGCTTCTTAGTTTCAGTTGCATTGAAAGTAAACATAATATTATGGGCATTATTTAAGAAGATATTTGTATTTCCTCTACCCAGATCATACCAATATGTATATAGTTAAGGTCAACAAATTTAGTAATTATTTAAAGGCTAAAAGTTATGGGTGGTGAGAATGGAGAAGGATGTAGAATTTGTGCCACAAAAGAAAGTGTTATCAACTAAAGTGTTTACAATGGAGAGGAAATTTAGCAGTTCATGATGAACCGTTTAAAGTACAAGGAGCATTTTGAAGAATGTACTATGAAATTTCAAGGAATAAAATAAAACTGATTTTTCTACACAATGTATTAGACTCTAATATTAAAATATTTAGCACAGATTGGATTGGTCAAACTTAATAAAACTATCTGGAAATGACATTACCAGTCATAACTTGCACATATTCTTTAAAAAGAATGATAATTATAAATGTGGTAGAGATTTCCCATATGATGGACTGGAAAATTGTGTCAATTTAAACAGAATGTTTATAAAATCAAAAAGAAAGACTTTTCAAGTTTATCAGTATCCATATTTTCAAAAAATGCTATAAGAATTATATGTTTATGAGAGCAAATTTCCATCTCTTGAAGATTAAAGCAAGTTACTCTAGGAATAAAAACATGCCAATCATAAAAATATCAAGTATAAATATTCATAATTCTAAATATGAATATATAAAATTCATATAAACATATCCCAATAAAAATAGGCATCATTATTATAGTGTACTTAGAATATTGATCTCAGCAAATCATTAATTTAGACAAGCCAAATATTATAAATATTATTTTTATAAGTAAACTAAGAAATAATAGAGACATGAAAGTTCTCTAAAGAGAAGTTCTATGGACTGTCCCTCAAAATGCATATGTGAATGATTTAACTCTCAGTGAGACTGTACCAGAAAATAAAGCCTTGACAGGAAAATTAAAGTTAATGAGGTCACAAGAGTGGGAGGCAGATCTCATAGGACTGTAAGGAGGAAGCTCTGTGAGAGTGAGTGTGTGCACACCATATGAGAACTCATGGATGAGAGAACTCACCATAACAGAAATTTGTAAGAACCTTTATATTGGACTTTCCAGTCTCTAAATCAAGAGAAAATAAACATCTGTTGTTTAAGCTACTACTCTATGGTATTTTTTTTATGGTTGCTCTGTGTACTAATACAAAGAGCAACTTGAATTCAATAAAGCAGATATTTATAAACATTTTGTGCAAGACAGTCTATGAAATGCTATGACACTTAACAAATATTATTTCTTTACTAAAATGTACTGCACATATAAATGTTCCTAATCTTACTAAAGAAAACAACAGTTAAAATTATAGAAACCAATGTGAATACACACATATGCAAACCCAGAAACAGGTTTGCATTTGTGTGTATATAAATACTTAATTTCAGTCATGGAAATTGTGTATGTATGTATGTGTTAAAAGGTACAGAGTTACAATGTGTTTGGGGCTTGTAGGGCAGATATAAATACATATATTTTAAAAACTAGATTACTACCTTATTAATAATTGTGATTATCAATGGTATTTGCATGCTTTAACAAACAATACATTGAGGGAAAATTTCTAATTTCTCAATTTTTATAGAGATGCCTTGTAAAATTCCAGACTCTTAAAATGAAACCATAAGTAATAAGAGCCTTGGTACAAAATATCAATGTTCTTTGGCATAGAAGCATGGAAAGTACTCAGTGTGATATAAATAGTAATGAACTCCCCAGTCATATTGAAATGTAAAATTGTTATAGTGAAGACATTATGTCTCAAATAGAATCACAGCAAGTTTCTTTTGTTCCACTTAAACCAGCTGCCTAAGTTCTCAAATATAGGTTCTTCCTTCTCAACAAAAAAGAAAACAAAGGAGTGAGGCAATTTCTTGTGTTATTACCACAAGTCAATGCTTCACTTTTCTACTGAGCACTCTGTCAATTATTCTAATTTAATAAAAGTAGAATTTTTGAATATATTTGAGTGACAACAATTTTTATAAAAAGTTTTATAAAATTTGCTGAACAAAAGCAATCTTAAAAAAATATATATATATCAACTTAAAGAGACCAAGAACAAAATTTTCTGAGATTATAGAAATGCTATCATTTAATCAGGGCTTCAACCCCCAAAATAACTTTATTCTTTAAATCTATAATAACTTCATTCAATCAATAATGGTATTTAGAGAGAATTATGCTATCAGATAATCAGCCTAAAAATATAGCATATTTATATGCGTATCTATTTGTTTTTTCAGTGTACATACAAAATATCATCACATTCTGGACCAGGATGACAGGATGTTGAGTAGACATAGGATGTTGAATAGGCAGAAGAGTGTCAGCACTCATTGAGCATTTCAGTGAGTAGACAAAAATCATAAAACTCTGTGTGTGTGTGTTGTTGTGTAGTTACAGGAACAATAAATTTTATTGTACAATTCACATACAGAATAAATGGAGAGTTAATATAACAATGCGATTTTTAACATAATACCAAAATGAAAAAGGCAGCTAGCTATGTGAAAATATGGAATAAACTTTGCAGAAATAAGAAAGGGGAAAAATATTCAGATACAAAAGATTTTGATGTATTAGAGTTTTCTGTGGAGGACCAATTGGTAAAGAGTTTAGGATTTGTTCTTTATTAGAAGAATACACAGATTCATTTGAATGAGGTTTTGTTCATTAAATAACTGAATCAAGATTCAAGACAGTCTGATCAAAAAATATACTCAGACACACAAAGGTAGAAGATAAGTTTCTCCAGCTATATTCTCCCCACAAACATACCAAGTTGTACTGCAATTTAGGCCCAACAATCTTCACAAGAGCTAATGAAACCAGATGAACATCTGTAGTGCCTGTTTTTAGTATAAAAAAATGAATGTTTTAAAGAAATTAGGAAGAGAATAATTTCCCATGTCACCTCTTCCTCAACTCAAACCAACACAACCTGGATGGAGATGCTTCCCATGTAGAGAAGGGGAGACAATTAAGTCCAGGACTTTGACTTAAAACCCATTAGCAGACCTGCTAGAGTAAAACCCATTATTGGCAAAATCCCTTTGAACCTTTTTTTTTTAGGCCAGGTGTCATAGTGTACTGTCCCAAGTACCCAGGGGACTTCTCCAACCAAGGCTATCCCAACCCCAAACAGCAAAGCATAGGGTAAAATAATAGGGGTAAAACAGGGTAGTACTGGAACAGTGCTATGCTAGTCTAACCTAACATTGGGCAGATCCTAAAGATCTGCTCCCAGGCATGCCTATGGATGAAGCCTCTTGAACAAATCTAGTGCCAGGAAAAGGCACATAGCCCGAAAGTTTTGGAAAGAAGTAGATAAATTCCTAGACATCTGTGCCTTACTGGGCCTGGATAATGAAGAAATAAAAAAAAAAAAAAAATGAAAGATTAATCAGTAGTAAGAAGTCTCTCAACAAAGTACAGTTCAGGATCAGATGGCCTCACTGCTAGATTCCACCAAGTATTTAATGAAGAAAAATATCAATTCTCCTTAAGTCAGCCAAAAAACATAAGATGAAGACATTCTTCCAAACATTGTATAAAGACAGTATTACCCTGATACTGAAACTAGGTTAAGACACCCACACAAAACAAAGCAAAAAAAAAAAAAAAAAGCAAGTTGAGAGAGAGAGAGAAAGAGAGAGAGAGAAACACCCTACAGGCAAAATTGTTGCTGAACATAGATGCAAAAGCTTTTAATAAATTCTAGCAAAACAAATCAAACAGAACCTTAAAATGGCTTTTCAGCATAATCAAGTGAAATTCATCACAGTGATACAAACATGTTTCAGTATATGCAAATAAATAAACATGTAAGTTACACCCACAGAAAGAAGGATATAAAAACATATGTTCATCTCAGGAGATGCAAAAAAGTGAGTTGATAAAATTCAAAATCACTCTGTAATAAAAACATCTAACAACTTAGTATGCATAGAATATAATCCAGTGTAATACAAGTCATTTATAAGAAACCAACACTAACATTATACTAAATAAGGAAAAAAAACTGAAAACTTTTTCTCTAGGATCTAGATTAAGACAAGGATGACTCTATTCACCATTTTTTATTCAACGTAGTTCTGGAAGTTCTATCCAGAGGAATCAGGAAGAAGAAAGAAGTAAAGAACATCCAAATTGAAACAGGTCAAATTGTCACTGTTTACTAATGACATGAGTATTTGCATAGAAAATGTCAAAATATTCTCCAACGGGATTGTAGAAATTAAATTAACATTCAAAACCCAGTAGCACAGATAGGTGCCAATAAAGTATTATGTGAAATAGAAACCAAGAAAGTAATTTCATTCAAAATGGTTTAAAAATATCTATGAAGAAATTTAATCAATGGGAGAGTTCTCTTCAATGAAAATTATAAAACGTTGGAGAAATTGAAGAGGAATCATACACACACAAATGGAAAGTTATGTTCATTGACAAAAGTAATCAATATCATTCAAATATTTTATTACACTGAACAGTTCACAGATTCAATGAAATTCCTTTCAAAACATCAATGACATTTTTCACAGAACAGAAAAAAAATTTACAAAATTTATATGGAATTACAGTAGACCCTGAACAATCAATCAATCTTGAGCAAAAGGACAAAGCAAGGTATATCATAAAGCTTCAAAAGATACTGCAAAAATGTGGTCATGAAAACACCATGGTACTGATATGAGAATGGGTGCATAGACCAGTGGAACAGAATGAATAGCATAGAAGCAAACACATGTGTCTATGCCAAGTGCTGTTGTTTTTTGTTGTTGTTGTTTTGTTTTGTTTTTTTGTTTTGTTTTGTTTTGTTTTCAGAGAAGAGAGAGAGAGAGAGAGAGAATTTTTTTAATATTTATTTTTTAGTTATTGGTGGACAGAACATCTTTCTTTGTATGTGGTGCTGAGGATCGAACCCAGGCGAGCGCACTACCACTTGAGCCACATCCCTAGCCCCTATGCCAAATGTTTTTGAAAAACTCACTAGCAGCTCATGTTGCAGAAAAGACAGTCTGTTCCATAAATGCTCTTGTGAAAATTGGACATTCACACACAAAAGAATGAAACTAGATGCTAATATCTAAACAGCTGCAAGAACGAACTCAAAATAAATTAAAAACTTTAATGCAGAAGTTAGGGATGTAACTTAGTGTTTTTAGATAATATTCTGTTATCACTTGTATGTGGGTAGCATACATAGCATGGTTTTGGGCCCAGAACAGTTTAAGAAAAAAGACTTAAATGTAAATGTGGAACTGTGAAGCTACTAACAGAAAAAATGGGGGAAATGCTGCAGCATATTGGAAAGGGCAAGTGCTTTGTTGTTGTTTGGACAAGACCCCCAAAGCACAGGAAACAAAAGTACAAATAGATATTTGGGTTACACCAAACTAAATAATCTTGTGCATAGCAAAGAGAAAAGTTATTAGAGTGTAGAGAAAACTTAGAAAATGTGAAAAAAAAAATGCAAACTATAATTCGTCAAAATATTTGTACCTAGATTATGTAAGAAGTGTCAAAACTCAAAAGCAAGCAAGCAAACAGCCTTATTTTGAAGTGGACAATAGACCTAAGTAGACATTTCTCAAAAGAAAATACACACACATATGGCCAATGGGTATATTAAAAAATGCTTGATATCAATGATTATTAAGCCAATACAAATCAGCAGTGCAAGGAGATACAATGTCTCATAACAATGGCTATTATAAATACACTCAACAGTGGTCCTAAGGATGTGGAGATAAAGGAAGCCCTGTACACTGTTGATGGGAATGTAAATTGTGGCAATATGAATTAGTATAGACATCATGAATGACAGTATGGAGGTTCCTTAAGATTTTAAATTAAATACAAAAGTACTATATAATCCAGTGATTCTATTACTGAGAATAATTCCTATGGAAATTAGATCAGCATATCAAAAAGATACCTGCTTTCCCATGTTGTTGGCAGCAGTTTCACACTAAATAAAAAAAAAAGGAAAGTGTGTATAAACCAGTGAATCATAGACTAAATGTAGATATACATCATGAAATACTATTCATCCATTGTAAAGGATAAAATTCTGTCCTTTGAAAGCATCTACAGATCATTATGCTATATGAAATGAGTCAGATGAAGGAAAACAAGTACAACCTGATCTCATTTATCTGTGAATTCTAAAAATGATGGTCTCATTTGGGTTAGTTACTAGAAATCAAGGAGATGAAAGGGGAAAGGTAGATGGGGAAAAGTTGATCAATTGGCACTAAACTACAGTTATATAGGAACAAGAAACTTTAGTTTCCCATTGCACAGATGGGTGACTACAGGTAACAGTAATGGATTGTACATTTTAAAAAGTAAAAAGGAAGTATTTTGAAAGATTTTGCTCTAAAGAAATGAAAAATATTTGAAAAGAATGATATGCTTAGTCTGATTTAAACACTACAAAATGTATAGATGTATCAAAACTATTACATAGTATCCAATTAATATGTGTGAGTTTTATGTTTATGTCTCTCAGTTAAAATGAACTCAAAAGGAAAAGAAAAAATGTACTGTCAAACATTTTCCTAACTTGCTTTGTAAAAATGAGAATAGACATAATTCATACAGATAGCCAAAATAGATAAATCACAAACTCTTTATCACATCTTAGTAAGTTTTTCTGCCAAGGTGACACCTACCCAGAATGTTAGAGAATGATGCCCCATCATTTGAAACTCTCCTATTTTAATCTATTTTGATCTTGAACAAAGGACATCAGCTTTTATTTCTGATGAAGTCAGTGAAATGCACATATATTCAACAGTTTTCCTATGCCCCTTATTGTATCAGATCTCATACAATTGCAACAATAAATCTGAATACAAGATTGAGTACCCCTGAGGGAGACATTATGGAGTGGTCAGAAGAGCAGATATTTTGAAGTCAGATTATACTGAGTTGAATTTCACATTGCCTATTTCTTTGATTTTGTGACCTCAAACTTATTATTACCTCACGTATCTGGTCTTGATTTCCTTTTTATTTAAAAAGTCTAAATAAAAAAGAACTAACAAATTTCAGTTTGAAAAATACAAGATAGGAAATAAAAGAGCAAATACAAAACTGCTCTCACAGATTTGCACACATTTCCCTTTTTCTTTTTGATTTAAAAATATTTCACTTTTCTACATCTATAAAAATGTAAATAAGGTAAATATATTACAGATTAAAGCATATATATGTATATATGTATATATATATATATAAATACATAAATATATATAAATATACACACACATGAGAAACAGAGAGAGAGAAAGAGAGATATCCCCGAATATATATGGATACTGAGAATCAAATCAAACCC